TCTTCCCCTTTCTTTCCCTCTCCTCTACTACTGTCGACATCTGTCTCTCCATATCTCACTCTCACTCTCTCCATTACGCTCACACTCTCTCTCTCTGCCGCAGTGGACCAATTAAGGCTAAGCTGATTCCGATTGCGCCCTGCGATCCACCTGAGGTACACGGTCAGGGGAGTTAGCCTGTAGCTGATCTGTTTTACATGTTATTGATGAGATGGAAGCATCATGGCCATTTTATTACACCAATTTAATTCTTGGCCGATTTTCCCTTCGGCAGGTTAGTGGCAGTTCGCCATTGATTTTTCATGGAATTGATCAGCGAACTGCTTGAGCAATTTATTGGTCCCCTTGCATCTGTGATTAAGATCACCATGCAATGTGCCCGTATCTATGTGTTGATCATTATTTTGCAAGACTGATTGTGGGATCTTGGCACTCGTATGAAAAGGTTGCACTGCGTTTTATAAGCATTGGTTGACTTACTAGTGTATTTTTCGTTGTTCTTTGGAACCTTTAAACTCCCGCCTGACTGATGTCAAGGGGAATCCATACCTGTTAAATCTGACCAGAAATGACAGCAGCTAATGTGTTCAAATGTCAGCGTAGACCCAAGTTTAATTCAAACTAATCTTGTCTCATTGGAAGCCATTTGAGGTCCAAAACCACCATGACATCAGCTATGCATTTTCTTTGGGAACTCAAGGCTAGGATAATTACAAAGAAGGTAGTATAAGCAAAACAGCTGAGTACTTTTTAAATATACACTGCATTAGTTTGTAGGCAGGAGGGAGTGCAGGCAACCATGTAAATTATTATATGGGCCAGCTCTATTAAAGTCAGACCACAGACTCGTGTTTTGCTGGACTGAGTAGTAGCCTAGCCTACTGTCGTGCTGCATCTTTCCCTTTGGGTGTTGTGACACAGCTTGGCTATAATAAGGATCAGGCAGAAAGCCGTTCAACAAGCTCAAGAGCTATCCAAGAGTCATCCTTTTAATTTGGTTAATTTACAGGCGGCTTTTTGTTATTAATTCGACTTAGAAGACTGATGGGCCAATTGATACACAAATTGTTTTTTTCTTTCGCTGAAGGGGTTGGTAGTAGTGTCTCTAATCTATCTTTCGCCCTCTTTCTCTCTCCCTCCCTCTCTCTATGGTTCTCTCTTTCCCTTTCTCTCTCTCTCTCTCTCTCTCTGACTCCCTCTCCCTTCTCCCTCCCTTTCCTCCTATATCTCTCTGTCCCTGCCTCCTTCCCCTCGCTCGAATGAAGCGATGGTTGAGGAGTTACACCCACAATAAAGCTGAATTGAAGTGACTTCCAAGCCATTACTTTCTGTCTAACGTATTAGCAGTACATAAACTGATTTGTTTAAAGATTTGTGGCTTTGAAACACCAATTTGACTCAAAATGTTATTACATGGCCACAGAGCGCCGGCCAGACATAACGTTAGGCGACAATAGCTTGTGGTTTTGAGGGCTGATGCAGAAAACGAGCCAGCCCAGTTTCTCAGGCCGACGTACACTCCTGAGTAATCGACTTCACGTCCACATTACCAAAGCCTGCCACTGAAAGAGAGATTTAAAGCTGCAAGATAGATTGATAGTGGACCATATGTTTGTCATCATGCATAGCGCAGTGTTTTTGATTCTTTGGTGTGAGATGGTATGAACATTTTACAAGTTTATGTCAGCCTGGAATGGAATGTACTGACAGCAGAGATCTGATTGGTTTAAGTGAGGGTAGAGGTAGAGGTATTCACTTTGAGAAACATTTGAACAACGTTCAGCTTTGGGTCACTTTCAGTCAGATTTAACTATACTTTAATTGATTCATCATTGTCTACGCTGGATTTGACTTTCATGACTCGAATCTGGGGCATGAAAAATAATTGGTTATGCCAAACTATTTATCCTACATGTCAGAAGAAAGAAAGTGTTCTCGAAATATCCACACTTTGTGTCAGGGGTGTAATATTAATTACACTGTGGAGGGAAATGTGTGATGCAATGACAAATATTTCAATATCTCAACTCTTCTGATTTTGGTATATTAGTTTTTGTAGGCCTATACTAGTACAGGTGAGTGATCCTTTAATCAGTGATAAATTATCTGTAACAAATGTGTGCTATAGACAGTGATCCCTCACCCTCCCTCTATACCTCCACCCCCTTAACAATATAGTTATTGGGCTCACAGCAACAAGGCCTATAGAGAGAGAGGTCTGTTCTGCTCTGGTACAACACAGTCAAGGAAGCATTTACTAACATACATCAAATCATAAATAATTTAGGAAAATAAAAGTAGATTTAGGCTATAACTAAATCCAACAAAGAAAAACTCTCACATGCATGTGACATAGGTTTTTACTAATTTAATTTGCACTGCAATGTTTATTATACATTATTCACAATTAATATACTATAATGGAGTTGATTAGTGCATAAATTGCTAGTCAATCCCATATTATTTGACAACTATTTAGTTATATGGCAGCTATATTAAACATGCATATAGTGGAACATAAAATGCATCCATATAGGCTATATGAAAGGGGGAGCATGTCTATTAGTTTCATAGAGTAGGCCTATGTACAAGTAAAACGTTGAAATGTCCAATAGGCCTAGTATTGCAGCTGAACGTGTGCAAAGTGGTTGATGTCCTCGTTAAGAATCAGAAGAGCGCGCTTGGTCAGGTCACCTCCTTTCTCACATCACAGACCCATTAGAAATTATTTCAAGTGTCCTTCTGCGTCGCCAAAGATGACAACAGCCAATCGATAAGTGCTTGAAATGAAAAGAAGCCGCCGGTTTGCCCCCTAGGCAAAAGATTTCATAGCACCAGCAGCAGCCTTCTTACAGAACCTCAGGCATTCCTTTGCACCTTTCTTCGTGAGAAAGAGAAGGCAGGCTCTCGTTTTTATTCTCCAGATGAAGGTAAGCGTGGTTAGTAGAACAACGTGCCTCTCAAGACGCCGCCGTTTTTTCCCTTCTGATATGACAGGCGGGGTTGGGCTTGCTGTACGAAAGGGATGCATGCCAGGTTGATATTTGATAACAGCGTTGGGGGGTTTTGAAATCATGCGCGTTCGCTGTACAGTGAGATCAAATGTAATGGGTGTGTATAGGTCATCTTCAGATAATTGAGTGACCTGATATTAGCATAGGGCGTCACAGAACAGAAAATGTATCTGCTTATCAATTATGCATTACAGGCTTAATACATACTAGCCTACGAATGTAATCGTAATTTATCTATAGACATGTTTTTGGGCCTATGACCGTACGCTGAGGAAATCAGGGATGCAACTCTCATAAATAAGGCTAATTGATTTCCTGTGTCCATAGATCATATAAAAGTCATCCAATTGCCGATTGCGTTGTTATCGCAATGCTCAGACGCCATAGAACACGCAAATGATAGATAGCATCAGTATAATCATATCTTTACAATATTCCATTAGACATGCACGTCGAATGCATACTTCACCCACAAGGCCTATAGGCCTACATTTTAGGAAAGTGTTTCAAACGTTATGCTTAATGGTATTCTGCGCGCATTACTAAATTAAAGGGACAATGTGGAAAAAGCATAGATATAAGGCCGTTGTCGTGTGCATGTTTTGCTTTAATGCCTCGTTGCCGCGAAATTCCCATGTGGTTGTGTGCATTAATTACTTGTTTAATGGGAGTATGACTAAAAATGTAAAAGAAGGATTAGGCACATGAAATGTAGCCTACGTCCGGTCCGCTTGGCTCACTTAAGATGCGAATAGAAAATCAGTCTGGATCTTACGGATCTATAAAGAGCATTTGCATCCCAGCCAGCTGTTCGCTTCTGCAAATAATAAAAAATAAGCCTAACCCAAAACAAATGTGCCAATTCAAACGTAAGCCTAATATTACACCCGTTACACCAAGAACTTACACCAAAAATGTAAATGCAAAAAAAGGTATTCACTTTGAACTGCCAAACAGTTTGTCAATGTGTTAAATTAACATTGAAGACATCACAATGTAATGTGAACACTGACGCTGTAAATTTGTTTGAAATGGCAGTTTTTTAAAATCATGATATGAACATTCACAATCCTCATATTTGCACCTGTCAACTAAATTCTACTTTTATAATTTATTGTTATGATGCTAGTTTGCAAATCTAATAAAGTCATGACTATATAGCGTTTGAGAGTGGTTTCTGGTAAATTTCAACATGTATAAGGCTCTCTTCCAGAACATTTCCTGTAGTCTATATAGGCTGCAAAGAAAGGATTCACTTTGAAATAACATAGTGCTAAAAATAAACATAGTCTTCAAACGCACTAATCTTACCGAGAGATAGAAATAGTTATTATTTTATACGGACATTTTAGAGTAAAAAAAAAAGATGTAGGTCTATTTGCTTAGGCAAACATATATAGACTGTGAATTCATTCCATATTTGATCTACTATCTTAATTAATGTAGGCCTAAAAACAAGAACATACAAAGGGTAGGCTATGTGTTTTAATGACGTTTTATTACAATGCTATTATGATTAGTTTATTCGATGTTTTATTTCATTGTTGTTGTAAATTGAACGTTTCTAAGTTTACACTGTCTTTAACTACACATGCACGTAGACGCAGACAAACACACCCACTGAGGCACACACACTCACGCAGACACACACCCACGCACTCTGTCTCAAAGCTTGAGAGAGAGAAAAAATGCGCCACTCTTGGGGTGGCTGTCTGGAGAAAAAAGTTGTTGAGGCTGAAGACGATCCAAGGAGAGAGCATGACCTATTGAAGTGACAGCGCCTGCTTCGCAATTTCTAATCGCACTGTAGCTAGATGGTTGTATGCGCTTATAAGATACAAAATCATACGTGGCATCACGTTTTGATCAGATAACCGGGAAAGATAAGATATCTACCTAGCGCTGAGACTTTTTCCTTCGGGAGGCTGACAGCAACTTTAATATTTTGGACCTGGAAGTTCGATGTCTCCGGTTCTTATCTGAAGGGTGATAAGCGGAACCATCGGTGTGGAATTTACCTCTTATCCAGACAAGAATAAAACAGGAAAGGGCGAAAGGCGCTGGTGTCTTCGACTACGGTAAGTGCTGAGGCCACTCTTTGCCGAGATGTGAGTTAATGCAAGTGAAGGAATTCGTTCCACCTCAGGTTAGCCTTTTCGGCGTAATCTGTGAAAGTCTGATGTGAATTTCATTAGCACCGCAGTAACATAAAGGAACATGATAAGTGAGTTCGTGGCAGGTTTCACCTTACAAGTCCGCCTGATGATAATAATGTATCGTTAGCACTGAATGGAACATGGAATGGATTGGACTTCATGGTCTTGCGCCTCTAATTAACGCAGAAACATATGGTTATTAATTTTCATAATGCACAACAGGCTGGACTGACTTTGTTCGTGGTGTTGAATTCGTGGTGTTGAAGTGAGTGGTGCAACCTTAAGAAATAAAGAAGACTTCCTTCAAATTATTGATACAGATTATTGTTGACTAACGTAGGTTATCATTCAACAATTGGTTGTGGTCAACTGGACTGATTATACATAAATTGCGTTGCGGATATTGCTATGATTGTATTCTAAATCTCAAACTGGACATGCCACAGATTTAAATAAATATAATATTGGCTATTTATATTATCTTTCCATGTCTATTATAGTAGGCTAATACCCTCAAAATGAATTTTTGTATTCCTTATTTTCTTTTGCATGTATATTTTACACCAGTAAAAGGCACATTAATAATGACATACCGAAATACTGATCATTTAGGCTCACAAATAGGCTAACAACGAATATAGACAACATTTAATAATCTAGGATTTAAATAATTAGACACTTATGGTATCACAATACAACAATTTAAATTGACCTAATTATTATTATTATTATTACTATGATTATTACTTATTATGTTTTCCATGATGGTGGTAGTGGTAGTCTATGATTGTAGTAGTAGGCCTAATGGAAGCAGCAGCAGTGGGCCTAGTAGTAGTAAAGTGGTTGCCATAGCGAGAGACTTACATAGTAATTTATATTATTTGTAATAGTGGAGCCCAAATGTGCGCTAACTATGCATGCAAGTTAAATTGGAAATCGTAGAATATCAACTACTACAACCAGGTAAATAGACCTCCTAATCGTGTAATATTAGGCTAATTGAATTATTACTCGGTTATTACTTTGTAATTTATTTGGAAGTAAAATTAATTGAATGAAAATAATCAATTAATTCTATCATTTCTCATACACAGGCCTATGAGCGTACACGGCTATTGCTACTTTTTAGGGCAATGCTATTTTATTCAGGCAAAAATTGAACAGGAAATTCAAAATTCAAGTGAATATATATATATATATATTTCGAAATGTACATTTCTCAAATTGTACTCATTTAGCGGATGCTCTTATCCAGAGTGACTTACAGGAGCAATTAGCTTAGGTTAAGTGCCTTGCTCAAGGGCACATCGACAGATTTTCCCCTAGACCTTTTGGTTACTGGCCCAAGGCTCTTAACTGCTGGCCACCTGCTGCATATTTCTACGTGAGACTTCTTGGAAATTGCTATTCCCTGTCAATGCCATTTCCAAACCCGTTGTAATGGAGCAGGGGCGAGGGGGAGCCCCCTGAAATATTGAATGAAAGCTCATTACTGCCGCTGATTAGATGACATTAGGGATTTGCAATAACCTTACAACCTGACACACCATCTTTCATTTTACTTCGAAATACACAAGAACCTGCTCCACTCAGACCAGGGTTATACAGGTACAGGCCATGTAAAACTTAACCTCCAATGTCTAACCCCTTTGAACAAAATCACAATGTAGGCTATATAGCAGGTGAGGCGAGTAGCAGTTCTGTGCGGCGCGGGCGGGTCCAACGTGAAAGAGAATGAATGGGGAAAACGGTTAACAGCATGATTGCATGCAAATTTCCCATCTTAAATTATCATAAGCAAACAGTCGGAAGCCTGGACTAATAAAATCCCATCTGTGTTACTTCATATCGAGTTAGTATAGAGCTGTGATAATGCATTTTTTAATATCCCACCGACAGACATCTCAATCAGACACTAATCCCGTGATTTTACTGCGGAATCCCTCAACTTCCAATGCCCCAAACTGCTGCATGCCGCCGGAACAATTTACACCAACCCTGCCATAGAGCACCCTGTAAACCGTTGCATTGCTTTACTGTGGGACTGCATTTAAAGAGCAGCTTATGTTATGGGGTTCGAAACAAATTATCAGTAGGCCTATTCAAATGTTGGACATTTGACCAAACTTGAGGAAAATAGTGCAGCGCTAATAGGCCTTATCAACAATGATTAAACATACAGGTGTGACAGTTGTGTTTGGCCCTATACTGCAACGTCTTGATTGTAAATGTTGTGATTTTGAGCACACAAGGTAATGTGTATTCGATGCAGCCTTTTCAGCATTATCATACTAAATCCAGTCCCTCTCTTTTCCAGAAGCCGTTCCCTTAGTTGCGATAATGGACTCCCACTGCCGCAAGCTTGCGTCAACTTGTGTACAAACAGGTGAGGATCTATGTGTAACTCTTGACGCACTATCACAACACTTCAATGTGAAATTCTTCCAAGTTTTGCCCACTGCAGAAAACAGGTGCTGAGATTATAGCAGCATCATTTCACGTTTTGGTTCCTTCGCATATCAGAAAATACTATGCATGTTCGTTCCTAAAATATCATAGATCTGTCTAGGCCAGTTTCCCAAAGTCGGTCCTCGGGACCCCAAGGGGTGCACGTTTTGGTTTTTGCCCTTGCACTACACAGCGGATTCAAATATTCAACTAATCTCGAGGACCGAGTTTGTGAAACGCTCGTCTAGGCCTATAAAAGTGTATCAGCCCAGTTCTTTTGAGGAAAAGTGGTCTTATACTGTCTTAGATTGCCACCTAGTGGCTGGGTATGAATGTAGTGCGCCACTGGGAAAGGGAGTAGGGAAAGGCCTAAGCAGCAATTCTATCTTCATACACCCAGCTTTCGTTAAACTGCCAGGGGTTACAAATAACACGCGACAATATACATGGACTACTTTTTTGTTGTTGTCATCTTGTCCTCTTCATTTGATGTAGTCCAATACCCCACCCTTGGCCTATGAATAATAGGCTATTTAATTATATTTCCTCAATTACAAGGCACTCTTATTTTCTAAGGGACTACCATTAAAACGTATCATTATGTAATTTATATTGCACTCGTGTGGATATCAATGCATCTTGCATGAATTTGTGGCTCATATCAGTTATGCCAAAATATGATGAAGCATTTTAAATGCATATACAGAAATATTCACATAAACAAAAACGTCCATTATCCATATGAGTAGGCTACATTGCACATAACGAAAAATACAGTTAATTTCGTCTGGGCCACGTCAATAAGGTTGGAGTGGATTTCATGTATTGTGTAATCAGGGAATAACATAAAACGAATCTTGTTGAAGTGCTAAACGAATTACCAGTTTGGCAACTCTTAATTTAGCTCATTTTAGTTTCATTCATGCTATATTGGATCTAATCAAGTGGCAAAGCAGGCATCAGCCCGTGAGGCTACTTTTCTCCATAGCAGCAACGTGAGCAAGGACGTTCCAACGTCCAACCCCCCCCCCCCCCCCCCCCCCCAAATTGTAAAGTGGTTATCCCACTGGCTATAGGGTGAACGCACCAATTTGTGAGTCGCTCTGGCTAAGAGCGTCTGCTAAATGACGTTAATGTGCCCTTGAGCAAGGCACTTAACCCTAATTGCTCCTGTAAGTCGCTCTGGTTAAGAGCGTCTGCTAAATGACTAAAATGTAAATGTAAAATGTGTTGTGATCACTCATTGATTAACAATAATAAGATAAATAGAAACACATCATTATATCAGGTAATGCAATGATGAGCCAACGAGGCTTGCACATGTAGGCACCGGAGTGAAGAGACACTCGAGCCACCTGATTATTGGCGATCCCTTTTCAACTGTTTTACAACGGCCTTAATATATTCAAGTCTTGTTAGATTGACTCCAGGGAAAACAACATGTATAATGAAAGCTTATTCGTGAGGAGGAATATACTAATGGGGGAATCTGATGTCCCTTTAATCCTATGTAAAAAAGCCTTGTCGTCTCCCTTATATTGACTGAATTGCTAATTAATGGCCCTATATGGCGTTTCGCGCGCGGTAATCCACAGAAGAGAGATAAAGCATTCTGAAGGTAAAAATGAAGAGGAAACCGATAATCCACTGTATGTCTAGTGTTACTTTCAGAAAAATAATTGACCAATCAACATTTCTCGGCTTTTAAATGTTTATATTTTGATAGTATTATGTTGTTGTTGTTATTATTATTATTAGTAGTATTATTATTATTATTATTATTATTATTATTATTATTATTATTATTATTATTAGTAGTAGTAGTAGTAGTAGTAGTAGTAGTAATAGTAATAGTAGTAGTAGTAGTAGTAGTAGTAGTAGTAGTAGTAGTAGTGGTGGTAGTAGTATCATTAAAAACATCTGTAATTCTGGGTAATACCCCACTGGGCACACACTGGTTGAATAAACGTTGTTTCTACGTCATTTCAATGAAATTACGTTGAACCAACGTGGAATAGATGTTGAATGGACTTCTGTGCCCAATGGGAATTTTAACCGTTAAATTGTTCACAAAATCCTTGATAACACGCAGAATGCAGGTGATTGCTTAATAAGGCCTAAGACCATATGTCATATTCAAATAAAAATGGGCTTACCATTTGTAGATCATAACATATAATACCCAAACGAATTGCATTGCACCAAATGACCTGTGATAGACCCAACCTCTGACCGAATCATATGAGGGGGATTTAAACTAATAAAATCCACCTGATATGCCTGACGAGGGCCCACGAATAGACAGGCGTGAGAATACTCACCTAAACTGAAGAAATAAATGATGCACGGAAGACATGCAGGCTAAATTCACATCTTCATTCAAGGACTGCATATATTATTGTCCAGCTGTATACAGTGGGGTGGCTAAACACACAGCGCGTAGTTATTTTTATAACTCTATTTAAGGAGGGAGGATGGAGGCATAACCATACCCGTGGTTTTGACAGCTCTCTCTCCCTCCCTCAATGGTCCGCGCGCGGCTCTCCCACAAGAGTGCAAATGAGGTGTATATCAAGGGCTTTCACTGGATTAGCCCAATAACGTATTAGTAGCGCCCATATCATGATATCCACGAGATTGGGAAGAAAAATATGCGTGATGGCTAAATATTCTGCAGTTTACATCCAGGTCTACTTTGCCTTATCAAGGATGCATGAAACAATTAGAATACATTTTTGTAGTTATTAAGAATTTGTTAAAGTTATTTGTATTATTATAAGTGTTATTAACAATGCATTCAACGGTCTATAATACATTTAATCTATTATATGATATGTGGGGACTGACAATCAAATAATATTCTATCATGTTGCATATTCATTTAATTTTTATTCCATGGGCATTTGAATGCTATTTGCATTTACAGTATTAACGCACATGCCTAAGATGAAATATAGTAGTCACATGTCAACTACTGTCAAAAGCCTGCATAGAGAATAACCCCAATGCATACGGCCATTTATCTGCTAGGATACTGGACATATGTTTACTTTACGATTATGCGTCATGATCGTGAGGGAATTAGCAAAAATTCAATGGGAAATCAGCTCGAAGTCATTAAAAGTCCTTATTCCAAATTATTAGGCAAATTATAGTCTTATTATATTAAAAACCACTACAAGTCGACTTCCTGATAACCGCTGAGAGGTCTAAGCGCACAGGATACCCTGCTAAGCACCGAGATAAAATGAGTAATTTCGAACAAATCGAATGACCTAAACCATTGTTTCCCAAACTCGGTCCTGGGGACCCCAATCGGTGCACGTTTGTTTGCCCTAGCACTACACAGCTGATTAAAACAATCAAAGCTTAATGATGAGTTGGTTATTTGAATCAGCTGTGTAGTGCTAGGGCAAAAAAACAAAACGTGAACCCCTTGGGGTCCCCAGGACCGACTTTGGGAAACATTGACCTAAACCAAGGCCCTTGCATTTTTGGCCAATTGTTTGGTGACAAATTAGGCTAAATGTGTGACTAGATTGTGTCACTTGACTTCTGATATGGTTGATTTGGCTGGTCTTCATTTATATTTTATGCTCGAAATGGGCAACAACGTTCTGTGAACTATCGGTACGGGGGTCAGCGCATCCTTGTATCCCTATCATAGAAATATCGTGTTGCTCTTTTACGTGTTGCTCGGAGATGACTGTTTATGGAAGGTCACTATTGCCTGGTTTCTTCAATGGGGAGAACATAAGATTAGCAAGAACACAATAAATAGGCTAGCCTATTTTGACCAAATTAATGCATCATGACCCCCAGGTTGGTATGACTTTATTTTCAGATACAATTGCCCTAGTTGGGTTCGTTTTCCATTGAAATCTTTATGTAAATGTCTGAGAGTACAATGCACACGACGTGAGTGACGTGGGTTTCAATACTGGTGTTTTATAATGGTGTACTATAGACTTTTCATCGAAAGAAAGAAGACTGTATATGTTTTTATCTTGGGGGTCTGCAAAATGGGCATTCGGTGCATCGTCGGTACACTACACCATGCGTCCCGTCTCTCTTTACATGGTTTTATTTGGAAGAAAAATAAGCAATGTTCCCCGTGTAAACACATTGGCAGACATATCTTATTTCCCCGTGCGCCGGTTGGCTGGGCAAACCTTCATGTCCACATTGACGGCCTGTCAGAAAATGGGAGGGCTCTCGGTGACGTCAAAGGCATAGGAGAGAGGCACAGTGGTACAGCCAGGGCGCAGCGAACAGCTGAAATGAAGAGCGAGCGGCGTAGTGTGTGTATGCCTCTGGATCTAATATCGCCTACCTGTCCTTGTCACTCTGATTCTCCGCGCAGCTAGCAGTATCAGCCCGATTTATCTATTTGCCCCTGCTTCAATCAAAACGCCGTGCTTTTTTACTCCGACGCGAATTATGCTGGGTTTCTTCTAAATACATTTTAAACCGTTTAAACAAAGTTTTTCTTCACTTTAATTTGCGAGAGAGAAGCGTTGCTATAAATCCTGACACCATTGATTCCCACTTTCTCCAATCCGTCGGACGTCTCTCTTTTTTTGCTTGCACTGAGAACTTAATCCGCCTCTGACAGCGAGTCGTGCGCTTTCCTATCCATATGAACTCTATGAAGGATCCATTGAATTTAGACCATCACCACCACCACCACCACCACACCGGGACTAAACTCTCTTCCACGCACCACAAGGCACTAGCAATGGCCTCTAGTCTGCAGCCGTTGCAGCGGTCTGTGGACTCCAAACACCGGTTAGAGGTGCACACAGTATCGGACACATCCAGTCCGGAGTCCGTAGGTAAGAATCATCCCGTGGCGTATACTGTCAGCACATGGCTTTGAGAGGAGGGGATGGACGTTTTTCTGTTGATAAGAAACAAAAGATGGCTCCCTACAGCCCCTCTCAACAAAGGCAGTTTGAGACCGAGAAAGATATTATTTTACGCATGCAAATAGTAATTGGACATATCAGACAGACAGAGGGTCACTTTGTTTGACTATGCAGATATTCTGATTGTGCCAGTAATTGGTTTATTTGTGTTCGTCATGTAGCCTAAATGTCAGCGAACTTGACGCTCTCATTACTTTCATAACCTTTGACTCTGGTGAAGTTCTATTTTTGTTGTGATCATTTTTAAAGTCTTTACGCATACCTTTAAAGTGTAATACTTTTATAATGTGAAATGTAAGCCGTTATTCGATTAATGACAAAATAGATACACGTTTTAAATGACCATTTGTACAGTATTAACATTGGCACATTGTGCAAATTAAACAAAACAATAAATGTCATACTGACATTGTTTTGGAGTCACGTTTAATATTACCTTCTTCTCATGTATCTGCTCCAACATTCAAAAATAAGGAATCGTAACATTATTATTAGTATTACCATGAGAGTAACATTTGATCCAAAGGATTTAAAATGGGTTCAAGTTTCACGAGGATAATATCACCGAGGATACTTCACGCCTGTGACTGACCCGACCACAATTAATTATGTATTTGTTTACTCTCTCCACAGAGAAAGACTCAAAGGGCCAGAGCAAAAATGACGACTCTTCAGATGACCCTTCTAAAAAGAAGCGACAGCGCCGACAGAGGACTCACTTTACAAGCCAGCAGCTACAGGAACTGGAGGCCACGTTCCAGCGGAATCGCTATCCGGACATGTCTACAAGAGAGGAGATAGCCGTGTGGACCAACCTCACAGAGGCCCGTGTCAGGGTAAGGCCCTTGGGAATAAACAAACGCTATTCATGTGTATAATTTGGGGTTATTTGTGCCACTTATATTGAGTCGAGGCAAGGACGTGAATTATTACACATGCATATCGTTAATTACGCGGGGCAAGAACATGTTTTCTTAGGACATAATATGTTGCCTAAAAGCAAATACTCATACTGGTTATTCTTTACAATTATATGAGTCAATTAAGAAGTCACAAAACACCAAACATTAGATGGCTAAGCCTATAATTTATTGTTATTTAGAAGAACTAAAAGGATAGGCCATCCACTTTACACATATATGTTTCACTGTAAAACAGTACGATTTTAATGTCAATATCCATGCAATGAATAAAATGGAAATGGTTGAAATGTAACAATTTCACACATTTACTATATTTACGTATAATATCACAGTATTGTTAGATATCTAACATTGCCGATAACAAGATAAGTAAGGTTGTTATTAATTGTTGTAGAAAACAAATAATAACTACAGGCTAATAAAGCTGTTAGTGGTTAGGACCATTGACATTAGCCCCAGACAGATACCAATCGTGTTACTACGTTCGTGTGAAAGAGGTGCAAAGCTTGTATTTTGCGTTTGTCACTCTCGTGTTGTATAAATAAGGTCACTAACGTGTTTGTCTTTGCCTATGGAGGAATAGGCCTACACATCTTCAGAAACCACATTAAGATGGTCCAATGACAGTTAGGAACGCTGGATTCTATCGGAATCAACCCATATTGCTTTGCATGAGAGAAAGGGACTCAATTAGGCCTTGTTGCAATCCAACATAGGATTGTACCACAAGTAGCGTTGTGCTTTGCAATAAATGACTTTTCAATAGTTGTTTTGATAACGTCAATTAATTAAAAGTTTGAGAACAACTCTATACATTTAAGGCATATCCTGAATTTTAGTTGTGGGTATATTTTTGCAAACTGATAATGTCAAGATTCGTAAATTGTATGTCTGATTTGGATTTAAGACACATCTGAAGGCCAAACATATGAAGAAAAAAAATATGACATCTGGTTTATTGCAGACCAATTAGGCTACCCATCAATTACATGTTTCTGAATTACACTGGATAGCCAACAAGTCGTACTGGCGTTGGCTATAACATAAAGTAAATGGGGCCTACATGTTGCATGAATAGCCTAAAGGCCTACATAATTATCAAATTCTGAACTCCTCTTTTTGTTTCTTGTAGGTTTGGTTTAAGAACCGGCGAGCAAAATGGAGGAAAAGGGAAAGGAATCAACAAGCTGAGCTATGCAAGAACGGCTTCGGTCCTCAGTTCAATGGACTTATGCAGCCCTACGATGACATGTACCCCAGCTACACGTATAACAACTGGGCCGCCAAAGGGCTAACGTCGGCCTCCCTGTCTACCAAAAGCTTCCCTTTTTTCAATTCCATGAATGTCAACCCTTTGTCATCGCAGACGATGTTCTCCCCGCCGAACTCCATTTCTTCAATGAGCATGACCTCCAGCATGGTGCCGTCCGCGGTCACTGGCGTGCCCGGTTCAAGCCTCAACAGCCTCAATAACTTGAACAACCTCAGCAACCCCTCTCTGAATTCGGGAGTTCCCACGCCAACCTGCCCGTACGCCCCGCCGACCCCCCCTTATGTGTACAGGGACACTTGCAACTCCAGTCTGGCTAGCCTGAGACTGAAAGCCAAGCAGCACTCGAGTTTTGGATACACCAGTGTTCAGAATCCGGCCTCAAATCTGAGCGCTTGCCAGTACGCCGTGGACAGACCAGTCTAATACCTGAGAATACATAAACCCCAGTCACAAGAACGATAGACTACCTTTTTTCTTTTTCAAAAGGGCACTAGAAGACTAAACCACTGAAATGAGCTAAACCCTGCGATGGAGCTTTAAACCTAAACGGAAATAATTAGTCATTTTTTGCTAATGAGTATTTTGTTCTTCACCCGCGAGTGCAGAATTTAGGATAGACCTACTTTATTTTCTAAGCGTGTTTATTTGAAAGTTTCGAATTTTGGACATTAATTGACTGAAAGGTTGTATATATATATATCTAAATATCATCTCCAGTTTATTGAGGCGAATGCTCTTGCTCTCTTCTCAAGGTTAAATTTAACAAAGCATGTGGAAAACCCTAAAGGAATAATGTTTTGCTTGCAAACAAGGGAATGTACATACTAAACGCACCAGTTGTGTGTTTCTAACATATAAATGTATTATTAAATGTCTGTGTGAATATCGATTTAGAGTAGCAATCCTGGGTATAAAAAGACGCATCAAAGGTTCCTGCAAAATGACATTGGTTTTGCTCTGTGTATACTATTTGGTATGGAATTTTGTTTCGTTTTTTTCAACATCAAAAAAATAAACTATTGTGTTTTATTTAATGGAAGTAAATATATTGTTCAAAACTTTTGTTGAGGATTTTTGTGCCGATCCAAGTATTAGTGTGAGTTTTGTCGAGTCTATGTGTCTATTGGGGTTCGATTATGCTAGCTACTAGGCCTACTAATCTATAGCGAAAACAATTGCCCTCTCCAATACACATATGAGTCGAGATGCCCCGTCAGATTAACTGCTGAATACATGTCTGCCTCTTAGCCAAGGCCCCCGAGTGATCACTGGTGCTTGAAATAACACTGGAATCAACAAACAGGAATTGTAAAGCACAACAAAGGCACGAGCTCATTAACTTCTGACGCTTATTAATCATGAGGGCACGATGATGACTCTTGAAAAGAGATTCTAAATATAGCCTAGCACTGGAAGTTTAAGATGGGCTTCTTGATGCAGCATGTGATTATAGATATACATAACATATTAGTCTATCTCAATAATTGTACATAACACAATACCATAATCAATAATACCAACACAAGGTTAGGCTATTGTATTTTGACCAGCGCAATGTTATACGAATCTCTCATAAACACAACGATAAACTATTGCAAAACGATTCTGTAGCCCATTGAAAGATAGGCCTATGGCGTCAAGTTCCAGCCGTAGGTGTTCATAAGGTAAATATTTGCACTTTTGCAATAGCTTATTTGTTGGGCAGATGGACAACAACCAGTCTTTTCAATAAGATAACAATAACAACAATAATCATCATAATACCAATAACAATTGGCTAACTCTGACTACGACAATAACAATGTTATACCTGGCTGAAAAGTGCATAAGCTTGTTTTTTAATGTGGCCTAGCCTATTCTTTTTTTCCAGATAGTCCACCTTCTTTTATGTATTGTGTTGACACGTTTGATCCGCCAATGTAGTTTTGTCTAGACAGTCCCGTTTATGATGTGCTGTGGTCCGTCATCAAATGCATCAGTGCGTTTAAAGAAAATCAAAACAACTCCACGGAACCGAGAAAATATAATTCATGAGTTTGAACAAACAAAAAAAGAGAGGTATGTAGCTAGGGGACGGAGGAGGCGGGTACGTGTGATTTCATGACTTCAGGGCAGAGCTCGAGCTCATTTTAGGGCGCAGATGAAAAATTGAAAAGTTACCATTGTTGGCCACATTGACTAACAAGACAAATCCCCTTTCAAACTTTCAGCAGATGTCGAGGGAAGTAGCCTTCCGTTCTAAATCAAATGGAATGTGCATGGTAGTTTATTTGGGCTTTTCGGATTATTTCATATTTTCAGGTGAGCTATTGTTCATTTTATGACGTCTTACTCATTATGCTCATGCAATGAAAGAAAAAACAATTGACCTAATTTGGAGGGGAAAGTGGTTAATGTTATTATGGAATCCTATGTGTGCTGCAGCCACAGCCAAACAGTGTTTTCATGGGCCCATGCTATGAAAGTTATTCTGGCCAGAAAAAAATATTGGGGAAAATAAATAATAATGGACCTCTTGTTGTCCCTAACAGGCCTGGTGAAAATGTTGCCCTAATAGCGGAATCCACCAGCTGGAGCTCTACACCAAACACACTTTTCCATAAAAAGAGCCCCCCTAATGTCTTTCTAGCGACCTGGAGGCCATACATTTTCTATTTCATATTAGCTCGAGCTTGATTGAGTCGGTAACGTGAAGCAATAATAGGCTAACAAGGATAAGTCTTGGCAGCCGGGCGAATACGCAGTCTGGGTCTCAATACACAACCCAATCAACATTTGGGCGCAGAGGGCCTGAAGAGACAAGTCTTCAGGGGGAGACATCTCACTGCCTAAGAAACCGCCCAAGACTTCGGACCTCTCCTTCTGTAAAGCATGGACTACCCGGTAAGAAATATATTTCAATGTTTTCTAAAAACCGAAAATCTAACAGGGTCAACATGCCTATATTTTGGAAAATTGAACACAAGTGCTTTTTGCTCTTGCATTTTTTTTTCAGTGACCAAAAGATTCCACATTTTTGAAGTGAAAATTATGCAACATTTTTAAGCTTCCTTTTATTTTGGAGGGAAATCAATTGACCACATTTCTTTTGATGCAGCTAAATTTTACCTCCTGCAAAGCTAGCGTTCTAAATAATATTTAAACTCTTCCGTTTGATTGCCGTCTTGATTGAGATTCATTTTAAATCGATGTAGACAATCATTCAAAAGTAACCTCGACTTGTTTCATGAATGTATTGTTATTTCAAGAGCTCATTTTCCACTGTGCTGGTCCTGCTATGCTATTATAACACCACCTGAAAGTTTATCAGGCTACCACAAACAGCAACAATATAACTACTTCGAATAAACTTGAGAGAATAAGCAAAATTTTATTAACCTTTTTGCAGATTTGTTACACGGTTGCAAATGTTTTCGTTTCTTTGTTTTATTGCCGTTGTGATTGTAGCCTACTCTTCTCAGAAATAGAGAATATCACCAAACTTAATGTGTATGCTGATTCAATCCGACGTCTAAAATAGTCAACTCGTGTTGGGTTCCGTATGATAAGGAAGTTACAGAAAATGCAGAGAGCCAATCACCTCTATTCCACCCCTGGGAATTCAAATTAAGCAAGTGAGAGCACTCACCCATGCATGTCTCGTTACTTCTAATGTAAATAATTAACAAGCTCTCAATATTCATGTCATGGTGTGCCAAACATGTGAGACATTTTGCCAATATGGTGTCTATTTGTTGTCCAATTACACACACCAATTACATGCAACTCTGATCTTCTGAAAGCTATTTTCCACTGACTTTGTTATTCATGAGACCCTGTTTAGGCCTTTCTGTTCTCTGCAAAATATGCTCGAAATATCCTTGCAATTTTTCATGTCATATAATAATAGTAATAATAATAAAAATATGCCATTTAGCAGACGCTTTTATCCAAAGCGATTTACAGTCATGTGCGCATACATTTTTACGTATGGGTGGTCCCGGGGATCGAACCCACTATATATATATACACGGGTGCACAAGTTGAAATAAATTAATACATTAGCAAGTTCATATTAAATTAAATGTGTATTAAAATGTTTCTGATTTCACAGAGATATTGGATGAAATTGTCCTCCCCCCAACCAAATCAAGCATAGGTTTTGTCATATTAATGGATTATTATTAATAATTCATGAACAATAGAATATGTAGGCCTATGTTTTCAAAATAGAAATGCATGTTTTCATATGGGTGCAAACTAGTTATGGTGGGCGAATATTCGTATCTTCTCCTTTGAACTGGGAACGGTGGTGAATTAAGTCTAACTATCGAAACAACATGGACAAAATAAAACAGTTGTATTCATCCTTTGATTTTTACCAACGTGTCGATTTGATTTACCGTATTAAAAAAGCTACCAATGTATTAACAATTTCAACACTGTTGCATTGTAGTCAAGGCTATTAGCTTGGTTACAATGGCGGAATTGGCGACATTATTTGACAATAATAGGCCTACTTTTTGGTAAAATTCAATATTCCCATGAGTTAAATTGGCTAACAATTAACAGAAAACTATTGAGCAGGCTTACATTAGAGGTGTCCCCTAAATGCAAATTCCCATTCAGCCATGGAAAGGTGCATGCCTTCCTTTTAATGGCTTGATTGTATTTTACAAGGCCTGTTTGTATTGTCATAATAAGTTAAATGTCAAAGAGAATGGCAAGCCCTCTTGAATTGGCTGGATAGTAGGAATCTCAGACGAAGTTGTTCATGCAGATCAATTCCAATTCTTCTCCTCTCTCTCACTCACACACACACACACACATAGGCACCCACACACAAAAACGTTGACCATACCACTTTGAGTCAGTGGGGGGTTTCTGACCAATCCTGACACAGGGGCTGTAGCTAGAGGTCACATGAGCTGACCCCACACATTCCCCCCCCCCCCCCCCCCCCCCCCCCAAACACACACACACACACACAAGTGAGAACCTTACTATGAAGGAGTTCTAAAGTCACTTGGTATGTGTGTCTGTCTGTCTGTCTGTTAATCTGTCTGTCTGTCTGTATGCTTGTGTGTGTGTGTGAGTGTGTGTGCGTGCACGCCTGTGTGTGTATGCCACTGTATGCCTAGATGTGTGTATGCCTGCCTGTCTGTCTGTTTGCTTGCATGTGTGTGTATATGTGTGTGTGTGCACGCCTGTGTGTGTGCGTGTGTATATGAGTGTGCTTGTGTGTGTATATGAGTCTGCTTGTGTCAGTCATGGGCTCATGCTTTGAAGGCTGGGAGCGTGCGAGTGTGTGTGACGCTGAAACAGCTCTAGCAGCTCTCGCCACAGGCGCCCCGTTTCCGAGGGCCGTTGGCCGGCCAGCCGGAGCGTGTGAAAGCAGATAACCAGGGCAAATTTCATGACTCACACACTTCCTGCTCTGTGAA